GACGGAGAGGAATGAGATCAAAGAAATTGCAGCAAATCATTTTTCTGCATTTCTTAACATTGTTCCGGATGATCTTGAAGCTGCTAGTGTGAACTAGATAAGAGAGCTTCTTGGGTTCCAATGCTCATAAGAGGATCGTAGACAGCTGGTCTCAATGGTTTCGATGGAAGAAATTAAAAGTGTACTGTTTGCCATGCCTTTAAACAAGTCACCGGGTCCTGATGGGTACACAATCGAGTTTTTTAAAGAGAGCTGGTCAATCATTGGTTTGGATTTGGTAGTGAGCATTCAATCTTTCTTTATCAAAGGGTTTCTTCCAAAAGAGGTGAACTCCACCATCCTTGCACTCATCCCTAAGAAAGAGGGAGCAAAGCAGATGAAAGATTTTAGGCCGATCTCTTGCTGTAATGTGTTGTATAAGATCATATCTAAGATCTTAGCAAACCGACTCAAACAAATTTTGCCAAAATTTGTCGCCTCAAATCAATCTGCATTTGTTCAAGATCGACTTCTTATAGAAAACCTCCTGCTAGCTTCTGAGTTGGTTTCGGGTTATCACAAGAGCAATATCTCTCCTAGATGTGCATTGAAGATTGATATTTCAAAGGCTTTTGATTCAGTTCAGTGGGATTTCTTACTTGGTACTTTGGAAGCTCTCAATCTTCCCCTTGAGTTCATTCATTGGATCCGGCTATGCATATCGACCGCCTCCTTCTCAGTTCAAGTTAATGGGGAGCTTTCCGGCTATTTTGGTAGTTCGCGGGGGTTGAGGCAGGGTTGCTCTTTGTCTCCGTATTTGTTTGTAATCTGTATGAACGTCCTCTCCAAGATGCTTGATAAAGCAGCTATTCAGAGACGATTCAGATTTCATCCAAAGTGTGCAAATACTAGTTTAACACACTTGTGTTTTGCAGATGATTTGATGATCTTTTCTGATGGGAAAATGCGATCTATTGAAGGTATTCTTGAGGTGTTTGATGAGTTTTCAAGGATATCAGGTTTGAAGATTAGTTTGGAAAAATCCACGATTTTTCTTGCGGGCGTTTCAGATACGGTTCGAAATACCATTGCTCAGAGGTTTGCTTTCGATTTTGGATCTTTGCCGGTGCGATATTTGGGATTGCCTCTGTTAACCAAGAAAATGCGCACCCTTGACTATGCACCTCTGATCGACAAAATCAAAGGTCGTATTAATTCCTGGACTGCCAGGGCGTTATCCTTTGCTGGAAGACTGCAACTTCTCTCTTCGGTGATTGCAAGTATCACAAACTTCTGGGTCTCAGCTTTTCGATTGCCGAATACTTGCGTCTCGGAGATCGATCGTATTTGCTCTGCTTTCCTTTGGTCAGGTCCGGATCTTAATCCTCGGAAGGCAAAAATTGCCTGGGTTGATGTTTGTAAGCCACGTTCTGAAGGAGGATTGGGTTTGAAAAGCATATATGTTGCAAATGATGTGTGTGTTCTTAAGCTTGTTTGGAGATTGCTCACTGCAAACTCGCTTTGGGTGAGTTGGTCTAGGGTGAATCTCATGAGACATTCTTCTCTTTGGACAACGCCTGAGCCGTCAAATAGCTCCACGGGTTCTTGGATGTGGAAGCATCTTCTAAAATCTCGTCATAAAGCTGCAACATTTCTCAAAGTTGAGCTTGGAAATGGTCGTTCCTCTCTTTTTGGCATGATAATTGGTCTGATCTTGGGCCGTTGATCAATCTCACTGGCGCTCGCGGGATTTTGGATATGGGAATTCGAGCAGAGTCAACGGTGGAGGAGGTGGTTCTTTCGCATCGTCGTCGCAGGCATCGGATACAGCTCTTAAATACGATTGAAGATCATATTGAGTTTTTCAAAACTCGACACAGAGCATCTGCGACAGATTCCTTTCTCTGGAAAACAAAGGAATCTAAGTACTGCAATAAATTTGACTCAAAATCCACTCGAGAGCAGCTTCGAACCAAACATCCGCGGGTCTGTTGGTCTAAAGGAGTGTGGTTTTCTCATTGTTGCCCTTGCTATGGTTTTATGGCCTGGCTTGCTCTTCATGATCGGCTTACCACCGGGGATAGAATGCACCTCTGGGCTCCTTACGTCTCTACGGCATGTGTTCTTTGCAAGACCCATATGAAACAAGAGCTCACCTGTTTTTTTCTTGTTCGTTCTCATCTCAGATTTGGGCGAATCTAGCTATGAGAATTCTGAGGCATGACTACTCCAATGAATGGTCTGCGCTAATTAATCTCATCTCCAACACTGGTGGTAATAAAATTCACAGCTTTATTCTGTGATACTTATTCCAAATGGCTATTCACGTCCTATGGAGAGAACGGAATGCTCGACGGCATGGCTCCACACCATCTTCTGCAACATCTCTGATTAATTTCATTGATAAGGGGATGAGAAACAGGTTTAGCTCTATTCGCTTACTTGGTGATAGCAAATATGAGCAAGGATTTCAAATGTAGTTGGCCTCAAGACCTTAAGGAGCTAACCGAATCCACAAAAACCAGTACATTAGATTTATGTTTAGTGCCTCTGAAATTTTCTTACAAAAAATGCTCGCATTTTAATGTAGAAAACGTTGGTGTTTTTTTTTTTTGGTGTGAATATAATTTAACATTCATCCAAAAAAAACAAACCTTATAAGGGCTGTATCAGATATTATAGTATAGTTAGTTTTTTTTAGTTAGTATAGTTAGCTAGCGTAAAAATATATCCAAACGATATTGTGTGTAAGATGGAGAAGTCAAATATTGTGGATTCCACAAAACAATGTTATGAAATTAGCTAAATAGAAGGGCAAACTACATTTTTTATTAAAAAAACTAAGAAAGATGATTAAAAAACATAAGAGCATCCACAATAAAGATGATTAAAGAGGATTAAAAAAAATTCAACATGTCCACTACCAGACAAACATGACATATTAATTAATCAGTAATATCCAATAGATCTGTTAAATGAGATAACTACTACTATTGAGTTATCGATGTCAGAAACTGGTGGAACATAGCGTAAGTGGACTGTGGACCGATAAAAATAAAAATTCGGACCATAAAATAATAACAAAAAATTCTGCCCAATGCATATTAACACAAATATATTTTAGTATAGAAAACCCATAGAGTGGTTATTAAAACCAAAATCTATAACAGAAAGATTTTCTTCATTTTTTTAAATCTAATGTTAAAGTATACTCAAAGAAAAAAATAACAATTTTACAAATTAAAACTTTACTAAAAAGAAAAATTGTATTTCATAAAATAAAAGTACCAAAAGCTTTTAACAAAAAGAACATTAATAAGTCACAAACTACAAGGCAGAGACTCTTTCTTATTCCCTTTTTTGATATATATGGTATCTAATATCTATGAGCATTAGCACTAGCTTATTATTTCCGTTGGAAGAAGAAAATTGCGGATCCTTATATTTGTCCATTTTTATTATAGAAGAAGTTCCAAAATATGGTTTTTTTTTACAAAAAATATGGTATATATATAATCCCAGAAAAAGTTTATGAAGGCTTAGTACAAATTATAAATTTTATAAAAAGGGATAACTTGTTTTTATCAATCTAAGCCGAAACCTAAATTAGTCTTGAGATTCATAAAAAATGGTTATTCTTCCTACTTAAAACGTCTATAAATAAAAATAAAGTTTTAACCAAATAAAACCAGTTTTTTTTAAAAAAACTCACCTAGAGTCTCCATTAACGTACGCATGTTTAGCTATAGCTTATTTGAGATCAAAAACAAAAAAAAAGCTATAGCCTATATATGGTCTTTCGTTATGATAGAGATACCAACGCAAGGACCAAATTTAAGATTATTAAATTAACCAAAACCGACATTTCATAGCCTTTTTTTTGGTAACATGTCAACATTTCATAGCTTGATTTTGTTGATCTATATTTCTTATTTCCTCATTTTCAAATATATAAAAATCATGCTTCAGTCTACGTTTGTCTTCTTCATTTTTCTTTTCTTTTGACATCCTTCAGTCTACGTTTGTCTTGTGGTTATACTTCCTCAATGTTAAAGCAAAGCCTTGCCTCAATTTGTAGTTTGGTAATCTTTTCTATGCACTATTTATTCAGACGACACCAAATAAAAACGCAAACACGTGACCAAGTGACGTACGGTACGCCAAATACAAAATATGCCGTTAGATGTATATAAATATCAACACAATTAACGTACGTTATAGAGCTGTTATAGAGTTCTCAATTAATTAGATAAATTTTTATTTTAATAAATCTGCACGAGGAATTTAAACAAAATACTAAATACTAACGAGAGAAAAAAAAATGACGAGTCTAGATGCCTCATGTACAATAGGGATGGGGTGGGAGTGAAAAACTATTCGTTATAAGTGATTTGTTTTAACAAAATAATGATGAGTACGAATTCATAGGTATCGGCCGTATTGATACGTGTTTTTTATAAATCTTTTTTTTAGGTATTTCGATTGGACAATAATATATATGCTATAATTAATATTTATTCTCACTTATATTTCGTTTTAGGTTTTGTAACAAAATCACTATAAAAAAAAAGAGTTTTAATGCATAGATTATAGTAAGAATATATATTTTTGAAAATAGATAAGGCATAACCATCCGGAATACTTAAGATATATCTCTCTGATAAACTTTAAAAATTTACTAGATGAAACACAAGGGTCCAGAATGGGACTGGCATTTGAACTATATATTTTATTTATGCACTTTGGATTGTAGTAGCCTAGTAGGGTCCATGTATTTAAATAACGTAACAAACAATTTAAAGACAAAAACATCAAAATAAATAGAATCATTATCATTAGTCCCACTAGAAATTAATCAGCCAATTAAGATAAAGAAATATAAATATAGTAGTAGACAAATAAAAGAGGACACCGGTCAAATTCAAATGAAAAATGAAAATCCTAAACAATGAAAAAAAATATGAATAGAATAACTTTCCTAAAGAAAATGATAATCCATGCATCTCTTTTCTTTTTTCTTCTTCATCATATATATTTTTTTTCTACATCATATTTGGTCTTTACTTTCCGTTTTTACTGATCCTCTTTTTTCTTGTTTCCCTATTTTACTCTTTTGGACTTCTACATGAAGAGTTCTGACTGCAGCAACGTGTAATAGTTAGCAGCTTCATCCTCAAGCTCCCAAAACCCATCACCAAACCCATCTAATAAATTAAACACATTAACATAATCCTGATTAGTTTCATTCTTAGTCATCTCATAACTACTCCCGCTAATTTCAGTGTTAGGTATCCCAAGTTCGTCGTCGGAAGCTTCAAGAAGATGCCTCATCACCTTCTCCCTGTCGATTTCGTACTCTTCTTCATTTGAAGACGACGAGGAGGAGCAAGACGAAGAAGAGAGAGTAGGATTCTCAAAAACGTCAGCGTTTTGCTCTTGCTGAAGTGTGGTGATTAGGGAAGTTAAGTCATTGTCGGCTTCATTTTCAACTTCTGCATCATCTAACAGACATTGAACTTGATTGTACGAGGAAGAAGATGAAGAGGGCTTTGGTCTCTTTGTATCTTCTTGGGGTATGATTTCTTGTTCTTGTTCTTCTCTTTGGCGTTTCAATGGCGACGACGTTGATGTTTCTGCCATTTTTGTTGAAGAACAGAGAGAGAGAGAGAGAGAGAGAGAGAGAGAGAGAGAGAGAGAGAGAGAGAGAGAGAGAGAGAGAGAGAGAGAGATTACAATGTTGTTGAGAGGGTTTATTTAACTTTTTAAATCGTAAGAGAGAGAGAAAATCGTTGGGTTGGTGAGAGAGATGAGACTCAAAATGTTTATATAGAGAGAGGTTGCGGTCAAAATGGGGTTTTATTTTAGATAAACTAATGACGTGATTTTAGTGTCGAACAAAAATATTATGAAGTATTTGTTGGTTCGTGCATGTCAGGAGAGAGACATGTGAATGCTTTTTTCTTTTTCGCATAACCCGGACAGAAATTTAATTAAATGGTCTACAGTTATTTTTATAAGAATTTAATTAGACAATTATATTATTTCTATTTATAAGAACAATGTTTAGACCCTAACGCATGTAGTACTTTTATAATCGGTTTTTCTAGGCGGCCAAAACCACTCATATATCTTGATTTTGACCAAATCAGTCGTGAAAAAGTTGATCAACAAAACTTAAAGATTTTAATATGTTCGATTGATCAGTTCAAATGGTGGATTAATTTAATTTTTTTTACCTACAAATAATAACTAAAAATGGAAATAATATAAAAATGTATTATGAGCCAAAAAGTAAGTTTACAAACCAACGAGATACGGATATAAGACTTCGATTAATCTGCAATCAATTAGCAAGAGAGAAAAGAAAACAGAAGGGAAAAAGTAATAAGTTGGTGTCATAGAGATTTGGTAAATATATTTGGCTGTATCATCTGCGGTTGGATTAGCGTTCCAGAAGGAGCTTGTACATTACGGGGGATAATCGAACGGTCATGGTTTCACGTCTGTGGATTGCACATGGAAAGTGACAGGCTCTAATGTTTTTTTTTCTTTTGTCTTCTGTCCAAACAGATAGTATCGTTTAAATGAACGACTTAAATTAATCACCACCTAAACAATTTCGACTCTGAAACGCTGGGATAGTTGTAACTATATATATTATAATGTATACGTAAAGCTAATGTATATGTGTTTGAGATCGGACGCTGTAAACTTGTAATATAAATTGTATCTCGTTGAATGTTTGAAGCAAAGCAATTTAAAGATAGGGCTAACCTAGTAACGATATTTTAGCAAAAAATAATAATAATAATAATAATAACGATATGAGATCGGAATATCAGATAATAGTTATACCTTGCTTTTAATCCACCTCAATCTAATTACAAATATGAGATATTTTAGGAAGTAGCCCAAAAGTAAATCCATATGAATTTGATCGAAAACAGAAATATTATAATAACGAAAATTAACAAATACTTGATCGATCTTCTAAAGAATATTACCAATAGATGAGTTTGAATTAATTGGCAATATATACTAAACGTAGGATGCAAAAAAAAAAAAGTAGGTAGTTAACAAAATATGCGAGCCCCTCTAGTTAATTCAATTAGGATGCAAAAAAAAAAAGTAGGATACAAACAAAATATGCAACCTCCTTACTTCAATTAAAAGAATCTAGGAAATCAACACGATTCTAAACATATCAGTGTTTTAGCTACTTATTTTTTCTTTATATCCAATTATAATTTTTTTATCAATTAAATCAAGAATTGTGAAAACATTTAAAATATGACAATTTATAAAACAGTTTCGAAATACATACACATGTAAAAATAATCATTGTAAAAAGTAATTGAATAGACGAGGTTATAATCTTATTCAGAAAGGAAACTAACAAATGCATTACATGGAAGCGAATAAAAATATAACATCTTTAAATTCTGTTTAATCGAACCGACTTGAACGAACAAAAACTATGAATAAAATTCAAATATAATCGACTTGAATACAGATGGGAAAAAAAGGAGCAAATACAATTAAAAAGAGATGAGAATATAAAAATTGAACAGGCAAAAAAAGCCAAAAAAGAGAGGTGACTGGTGAGATGATGAATACTACATGGTTCGAGGTAGGGTTACACAAGTGGGTTAATGTTTGGTTTCTTTATACACTTCTTCGTGTCTTTGCTTTTCTTTCTGTCCTTTCACTTTACTTTATTAGCCTACCCACTTTTTTCACTACTTATCGGTTAAGGGACAAATCGCTGGTTAAGGATGAGAATGACGATTTAGTAAAAAGATACAGGTTGTGGTTGTATTGTTGTTAAAGGACAATTTCACAATTTGGTTAGTTTGGTTGTTGAAACAACTTAACAAGGGCATAGGAAGAAAACAAAATAACATTGGGGATATAAGACTAACAACAACAAAAAATGGGTATAGGAGATCGAGGCATATTTTGGTAATGATTTTTTAAGCCGTTTTGTATCTCATTGTCTAGCGGTAAACTTTCGTTTTTTGTAATTATACTTGTATGGTTTTAAAATGAATATTGAATTAGATTTTTTCGTCAATAACATAAATATTTAAAACAATTCATAAATCTACAGTAGAATATCGAGTTTATATATACAACACTATAAAAATAGATACAAGTATTATATGCTAAATTATCTGTTTTTGTATCGTTCACGTATATGAAGAATAAGTAAAGAATAAAATAAACATGTATTTTCGTTTTATGAATTTCTTCTGTTGTAAGTAATTAAAAAACATACCACTCTTCACTCTTCCAAATGTAATTGTTTTGAGTTGAAAGTAATGCTGTATTAGAAATAGAAATTCAAGTATGCTATTTTATATACTTGCTCATTGAAAAAGTGAATAAAGTTTTAAATCAAGTGAGATGACAACCAACTATAGAGCATAAGAATAAAAACAAAAAAAATGTTGTAGTTATCTTAAAAAGGTAGAATTTCAAAATTAAATAGAAATTAGGGTGGTCCAAAGCAAAGGAAGTGTTGTTCGGGGAAGAAGAGGAAGTGGGGGCATATCGTAGCCTTTCTGGAAGAGCACACTGATACTTGCCATCCCTCTCGATATGTCAACTTGTCCATTGTCGTTAAAACTCTGCTCATTTTTTTTTATATATCTGTTGTATTTATAATGTTTTCTTCATAAATAATTTTATAAAATTTTAGGATCGGTGGAATAACTATATCAGTCAAGAAATGAAGATAGCTATGCTATATAGATTCGTTTCCGGATATAAGAAGAGAAAACAAAATTGAATCATAAAACAAAATTAAATTAAAACATCTTATTAGAGATTACAAATCAATTTTCATTTAAAACTGTTTGCATTGAATTTCGGATTCCAGAAGTTTGGTCCATTCTTTTTCTCTGGATTAAATCAAAACATCTTATTAGAGTTTACAAATCAATTTTCATTTAAAACTGTTTGGATTTAATTTCGGATTCCAGAAGTTGGTCCATTCTTAACATTATTATTAGGCCTGGACATAAATACTTGTTATTTGTTCCGTACTCGTTACTTATCTCGTATTCGGCTTGATAAAACAAGTACTTGTTGTCAAGTCGAATAACAAGTCTACAAATTTTATTACTTGCAAGTACGGATCAAGTATCAAGTATCGTTTTTATTTTTAGTACTTGTCTTGTTATTTGTCTTATTATTTGGTACTTGTTACTTATTAAAATAAATATTTATTACTTGTTACTAAATATTTGTTATTTATTTAATTTTAATAACAAAATCTATAATAGATATTAAAATTCAAAAATTAAACCTAAAAACTATCAAAAATTTAAAAAAACTCTGTTTGTTACAAATTGTATGGCGGTCTTAAGACTCATGATCACATGCACATGAGCCTTTGATATTAAAATCCAAAAACCCAAGTATAATTTACAATTATCGATATAAAGTTTCTCTTAATATACACTCAAGATTCAAGTATCAAGTATTTCAAATTTTATGTATCAAATATTCAAAAGTTTTACAAATACTTGAAATAACGAGTACTTGTTATAACCAGGTACAAATAATAAATCTAATTACTTGAACGAGTCAAGCCAAATAACAAGTACATGAAATGTAGCAAGTACTTGTACCGTGCCTAACCCCCTTAATTATTATGCTTATTATGTTATCCCATTTATGCCGACAAATTCACAACCTTAGGCTTTTTAAAAAAAGTTTACAACCTTAGTTGTATCGTTTTCGTATTATAGTTTTAGAATATGATTATGTTGTTATTTTTTGAACGATGAGAGTTGAAATGTAGAATGGTCAACGACTAACTTATAAATTAATTTCGGTAGTATGTTTTAAAGTTAGTAAAAAAAAAATTGAATGTTAGTAATGTTTAAATTTGTTACTTAAACATGATGCAATATGTTGAACTTGATCACGAGTTTTCATTTTAAAACCAGATTGTTGATTTTCGTAAATGTTGAAGTGGATAGCATATTCTATTTAAATAAAAAAGTCTTTTAAAATTCATCTTACAATGATGTGATTGCTTCACAAAACAAAAAGTCAAGTTATTGCAAATTGATTTCTTCATGCTATGGTAAATATTAGATTATATTTCTTACCTAATGGAATTAGTACTGTAGTGACTTCATATACTCTGTATATAAAAAAAGAAAATCGTGTAAATCGAGAAGAAAATAAAAATAAAAATATTTCTTCCTCTGGATTTGCTGTAAAAGCCTGATCTGTCATCATGATGACCCGGTTTCTTAAATATTTATAAATCTATATACATTTTTTAGGGCCCTATTTTCTATATATTTTTTTGATTATTCATTTATTGATTTTGCGGGCAAAAGAAGTAATTTGCGAACGAAAGAGGTAACGTATCGATGCAAGCAATAAATTAAAGAAACAAAGTCGGTTAATGATGTTTCCCGCGAGAATTAATTAAAGTAAAACCAAGAGTGAGGTTTCATGCTGATGGTTTGCCAGACCTAATTAGGATCTCATTCGAGTGTAATGTTTGCGCATTATATCACAAACCTAAGTTACCTAACGCTTTAACACACAATATAAGTACATAAGCGCTTGGTTTGTTTCTCTTTATTTTGGCTAGAATGGATCTATATCGGTACGATTAAGTAATCAGATTGACGACAAGAAAAAAGTATCTAGATTATATATATATATATATATATATATTGAAATAACTAATCTCTAGGTTTTAATGTTTGTGCATTCTTATTATTCTACTGAGAATTGAGTTTTTCCATGAACTGACGATATTATTCTTAGATAAATCCATATCAAGCGAATCCAAAGAAAATTATTTGCAACTATACAAAGCTATAATGCTTTAGAAT